ATTAATTCGTACAGCAGCGTTTTGGTCCCAGTACAAATTCCTGATAATTCTTAGATCTTTTCCACCTATGTCTAGCTTTTCCAGTATTTTAAATTCATGTTTATTCCGACCGACATCGGCCTTATTCCAGATGGCAAGAAAAGTCTTTTGTTATATTTTTGTTCTTAGTGCTACGTTCCTGCCACTGCGTGATCTTACAATTTCTGTGGAAATGGGTTGTGGTAGGTCGTTAATTAGGCTGTTTTTCTTTTTTCTTCTTAAAATCAAAAACATTTCACCAGTTCTCTCTCTTGCCCTTTTTAACTCCCAGTGGAGCACAGGCCACCTACAGCATTACTTCAGCGAAGCCTGTCCTGTGCATCCTTTTCTATCTGTTTCCATGATGTCCCCGCTTTTTCAATTTCAGCTTGTACCGCTCGCCTCCATGTCATCTTTTCACCAAATCTAGTAGAATCATATCTAGAGATCTTGCTTGCTTTCTTAATTTATTTTGTCAATGTTCTCTGTGTCATACACCCCACAGTTTCAAGCCCAGTAGCAAATACAAAACAGAAACACACTTTTGGCCACTGAATTGTAAAAAGGGCACATAATCTTATTTTATATATATATATGTGAGACATTGTTATACTTTTTTGAATAACTCCACCATTTTTGATCCAATCTTCATGAAATTTTCACAGAATGAAGAGAAGATGCAATACTAAAAATGCGTGTTTGCGTTGAATTTTTTTGATATATGGAATAGATCTTTGTTGGTGGTGTCTGGAGTGTGGATTTTCACGGATTTTTTGCAAACTTGAATGCTACCTCAAGAAAAAATTCATTAAAAAATTTTGAATTCGTTTAGGAAAAAAATCCAACCGACACATCTTTACATCTAATGTTTGTGAACACGCACGCAAAAAAACAAAAAAACAATCAGTTTCTATGAGCGATAAGTGCGGCATTCATTACGTAAGACATGTCAACAAAATCCAACATTGGCGCCGTATCCATGGAAACGAAACGTTTTTCTCAAATTTGACTGCGGATTTGAAGACTCCTTACTATGCTTGTTATTATGTGTGACATTTGGTCAAATTCGGCCCAGTAATAAGCGAGATAGCCTTCAGGTGTAGCCGCCCCCCTTTTAAACATTTTCACTTCGTAGGGAATTTTGAATTTTGCCAAGGTGGCGCCGAAGCCGACTCTTTTTTATTTTGGACCACCAAAGGATCTTTAACGCGCACAACTTGTACACTGGACCTCCGAGATTTTCGCCCTTTTTCGAGAGGGCTAGGTGTAGATCTGACCTACCATAAGATCAGGGGGGTGTAGTTGAAAGACAGCAGTATATGGAGCCAAGGAGTAGCAGTAGAAAAGCTGCAGAAAGAGTCAGGAGCCCAGAGGAGAGAGCATAGGAGGTGAAGGGGTGGGGGCAGAATGTGGAGACGAAAGCAGACGACAAAAATGTTTAGAGAGAAGGAAAGATGTGAAAGAAATTTTTTTTTGAGAACAAGAACTAGCACCATAATATCGTTTTCAGTAAGAGTTTTACGGCACTTCCAACACAATAAAAGTCATATAAGTGCCGAAAGTTGGAGGTGATACTCGAGAGTAACATACACAAAGAAGGAGAAGGAGAGATAAGGACGACAGACGTTTTTTTGGTAACTTTTTTTTTTTAGTAGAGGTTTTACCGCCCTCGCAACTGCATAAAGTTCGATGGGTGCCAAGGGGTGGATATCAACAGACAAGTCCTTACAGGAATTTGCATTACAAAAAGAAACTGCGTTATTCCAAAAGTTTTAGTCAAGTGCATTTTCCCAAGAATTGATAGATCTCTTCTCGCCCATTTTCCAAAACTTCTGAAGAGGGTATCGATCCTGGGCTTCCAGTTTCTTCTAGTTCTTCCGCCGGTTTTATGCTGCTAAAATATACTCCAAGAATTTTAATGGTTAGAACAAACTGATTCGGAAATTCGTCTATAGTTACGGCTTAGCCATTCGTACACTTGGCGTAATCAAATTTAAATGCAAATCTGAAATGACCGAAAAATCATTCAGAACAGACATGCCTCTTCTCAAATCATTGGCATTCCTTAGGATTAAGGTTGTGTCATCTGCATACTGACTAATTTTACTAGACTCCAAACCCGGATAGATCTAGGTGTTGATACCACTTATGATATTGTTCGGGATTACTTTTTGGGCTGAAATATCCACAGCAAGAATAAATATTTTTGGTGAGATCGGACAGCCTTGTGGAATACCGTTACTCATTGGAAATGTCCTCGAGACATTATCTCCATTAATTTTTACACACGAGAGTCTTTCTGTATTCAATGAAGAATGGGTATCGAAACTGTTGTCTCCCTCTATTGTGCAGCAAGTCCTGGTGCTGCACGAAGTATTTAGAAATCTTTAAATCTTCTCAGATATTTTCGGAGGTTCGAATCAAAGAAATCTGAATTATGTTTCTCGTCCTTTTAAAACAGAATTGTTTCCCTTCAGCCTGGTATCCTGACTTAGGACGAATAGCTCTGCTTTCTAAAGGATTTATATTGTAGCTAGTGGGCCAGTAACTTTACCAACAGCTAAACTTTGTCTAAAAGTGTTTGAGGAAAAAAAGAAGAAAAGCGCAATATTGGCCTCTGGGAAATATCTTGGGGTTTTATTTTGTCATCAACTAAAAATAGTTAGGACTGGAACAAAACAAACAAATAAAAAACCGACATGAGAAAATGAAAACTCAGAGAGTGGAAACCACTGGTCTTACTTATTTATTTCACACAA